CTCCTCCCGGCTGCGCAAGTTCCAGATGGTCAGTCCACTGTTTGCGCCCTCTGTTGAAGTGAATCAGCTCGCTCTTTTCCGGGCCAAAGGACATTCCCCGGGTTTCTGCCCACTGCAGGCACGTCTCCCACGCTGCCTCCAGCTGTCGAACGTTAGCCTCCGGCTCCCGACCAAAGACCAAGAGGTTGGTATCGTCCGCAAACCTCGCTATCGCCAGATGGGGGTGTTCCTCTTTCAGCTGCTTGTACAAGGAGGCGATGTAGAGAATGAAGAGGACTGGGGATAGAGGAGATCCCTGGGGGACCCCCGCTCGTATCGCCGTCGGTCGAGCTGCTTGACCGTCGAAGTGAAGGGTGGCCTCCCGGTCGGTCAGCCAGTTCTTCGTCCATAGGACGAGCCACCTCGGGAAGCGCATTTCTCGAAGGGTAGCTAGTAGTCGGACGTGGTTGACCGTGTCAAAGGCGCCTGAGATGTCCAGCTGGAGGAGCGACGCTGTGGCGTTCTGTCTCCAGGCTTCTTGTGCCTGCGCTACTACCAGTCGGATTGCCAGCTCTGTCGACCGGTGCGCCCTGTTGCCCATCTGCTCATCTGGGAGTAAGCCGTTGGTTTCCGCGGCTTGAGTGACCTTCCTGGCCACTACCGATTCTATTACCTTCCCCAAAGTCGGTAGTAGAGCAATGGGCCTGTAGCCTGCCGGCGTCTGATATACTAGCGGAGCCTTTCCCGGCTTTGGTAGCACTACGGTCACAAGGATATAAACGATGCCCTCGGGCGAATTCCCGCAGACCAGTCCGACGACCCGGACCTTGAAGCACTTGTCAAGATCCTATTCGAAGGGCACTTCTCAATTAGCTCCTGGGAGTCCGAGGAGGCAGCTGAGGCTTGCGAAGTACGTTCAACATAATGCACTCGGCGTTAGAGAAGTTGCTGATGAGGCCATGGCTTATAGGAGCTCTGCTTCAGTGGTCTGCACGATGCTGCTCGTTACGAGCTCGAACCTAAGCACATACGCCTGCTTGCTGAGAAACTTCGACGGGGCGCCCTCGACGACAAGCTCATTGAGCCGCGTCTTTATCGCCACATCAACGTCGGTTTTTGCCAGCAGATGGAGTGGCATGATGATAACCTCGACGATGAATCTATGAAGTGGACATTGATAACAGCATCAACGAGTCGTATCATGGCGCAATCCGTTTGCTCGGCAATCATGTGCCCGCCACGTAGGAGCTTCCACGGATTGTGGACTATGATGGGGATGACGCAAAGGAGGCCCTCTACACCAGTCTCGATGTATTCAAGTTGATGATCCAGAGCATCATCAACCACATCAAGAAGGCAACGTTGCAGCAATGCCATAAAATGTGCGGGCATTCAGAGCCTCTGTTTCCAAGACTGGATATTCCTGCTCTCCTCCGGGAGCTTGCTGAGGGCGCATCTGCTGACCAGCAGCGCACCATCGTCAAGGAATTGGCCATTGCGGCCCACTGCTGGACGGAGAATCTCTGATTCGTATGTTGTGGAGAATCTCGAGGAGTTTATTCGTACCGTGGACGAAATCATCCCTGACTTCGGAGCTGAGAAAATTGCAGTTGGTAATGTATCTGGAGACTTGAAGTGTCCTGGTCCAGGGGCGTGGACAAGCGGAGGAGTTCAAGGTTTGCTACGTAGGTAGTTCCTGGGCTAATATGTCCGCATCATGTAGTAACCCGCGTGGGTTATCCTCCAACATCGGGGACTTTCAAAACGCGGTTTAGCTTTCCCTCAGGCTAATTGCCCAGGTATCCAGCTGAAAGACGGCTGCTCAGCCGCGTGGGCATCTGTCCCTACTCCCATCGCCAACCCTTGGCCCGCTTAAATCAGGAACCTGTCATATGCCCTTTCTAGTCTCGGCGGCCATGTCCTTGCGAGGACAGGGAGAAGCAATACATTTTTCCAGGATTGTACTCATGTGTTCCATCCAGGCCATAATCGAGGGCGTCAGGCCCTGTGCAGTCGCGGCCATCTTTATATTTTCCTGGATGAGCCAACCTTGCACTTTTTCCCTGTCTTTCTTGAACTTCTCGAGCGTCTCCTTGACGTCAACCGTCTGAGGTATTTCTGTTTTCTCATTCCGCTCTGGCCGGAGTATCTTGATAAAAATCATCGGATAGCCTTACTCTTAGACAATCAATGGATAGAATATCACTTGCTGCCATGCAGGGTAACTTACATTGTGTGGTTCTTTGTCCCGCCGTTCTTCTTTACCCGCAGCCTGAGCAGTGTCCGGGTGTGGTTCATCAGACTACCCCGGCGCTGAGAATATCAAGTACGCCTTGGTTCGGCTGAGTTGAATTGTGAGGTGAAAACTGGTAAATTGTAGGTGGTAAACTGAGTTTCGAAGCTTGAGATGAGGATGGGCTTCTGGATGTGAGCATGTGGTGTGCATGTGGTCTGGAAACCTCCAGCAAGCACTGTTCATCCGATCAAACAAGTGATGCTTTTGCTAAGTTCCGGGCTGAGCTGAGTCAGGGTTGAAAATAGTGTCTTTCCCACTGGCCCTTTACATGCTCAAGTCATTGAAGTCGGGTAACCCGCAACTGTCGTCAGCGATTCAAACCTCAAATGATGGAATTGCCTATCAAAGATGATCGGTTTCAGGCAACGAGATTACCTAGAGTAAGTGGCGGAAAACAAGGTAGCTAAGGTGGATTCAGTTACATGATGTAGACAACTCTGCTACGGCCATACTAGGAATAAGGGGCACAATCCGCAAGGAAGTGACCTTGGTCATATGCTTGCATCCCCATCATCTCTGTGACGTCTTTAACTCCCTGTATCACATTCGCCGCATACTCTTTTGGTGTGCTCTCCCCCCTGGTTCCTGTCATCGACGGTGTCCGCTTCCTCATCGCCTTCCGATCCTTTTGTTTCTTCTTGATTGTCCAACGTACCTTCTATATCAGAAGCTCTGTGGTGTATTCTTCTCCCTAATGGTCATCAATTATTTGTCCGGCGGGGTCCCATTGGCTGTCCAAGACTCTTCCGCTCTGCCCAAGTCCCACTCCTCGTCAGAGCATCCACTGCATTGGGATCTGCAGGATCTTCGTACGTATTGTCGTCTCCGCTGTGGATGGATGTTGCTTCCGCAGACCAACGGACTCTTAATCGAAAATTTCCTCCCAGTCCTCTCCAAACATGTCCACCTCATCTAACATCTGCCGGATCGAGTCTTCACCCCTAGGAACAGTCTTGCGGGAATTGATTGGGGTTCTGACGATAGCCTGGCAGATGGTCGGCTAGACTGCACCCATACGACGCAGCGTTGCAGTTGCTGCAATGTAAGGACTCACAGATCTCCTGAGCTTCACAGGGCCAAAGGTTAAGCCGGTAGCATCGGCAATACTGCCATGCGGCCTCTTCTTGCCAGTGGATACTGTTGCATCATGCACGGCTGGAAGGTTTCCCTCCATCCACTTCAAGAAGTTATCCCGATCCATCATCTCCTCGTTGTTGAGGCGCCTGTTCCAGTGCCGCATTCTAGCGCGAAAGGGAGTGAACTTTGCCATTAAATGCTCCTTCAAGGATCGATCCGTTTTGTTTGCCTCGGAAAGCTTCGGGATGGATGGCAAGGTCGTGTCGAGCGCTCCGGAAATGAGAAAAGGTGCGGTTGGTGTATTGGCCAATATCTCGAGAATCGCTGCTCAGGGACCGCAATCTGTAATGACTAGTCTGCGGAATGCTGCAAGCCTGTGATGCAGGATTAGGCCGGGTGATGATGGGGCCAACTGCGCGCAGAAGTTTAAGAGAGGATAGAGATTCAGTGCGTTCGCTCACTTGGAGCCTTTGGCACCGGCAACGTGATGTGAATGTCCGGCTGTGACACCACCATGTTCTGAAAGAATGGCGAGACCACAACTGACACCATTCCCCCAGATACCTTCCCCAGTACTTCCCAAAGACACCGGTTCTCGACCATCAACATCTTCCAACGGAGTAGATAAGTAACCATTGGGACAGTTAATTACAGATAAACGAATAAATCATGCTCCTCCATACTTGGGCCAAGTATCATGCCATCAGTAGAAGACGAACACACAGATCCGAGGATACCGGTGCATCCAGCCCTAGTCTAGGTCAACACGCAAAGCAAACCCCAGCCGGCACGCCGCGCTTTCATCTTGCAGCCCACCTGTGATGCAACGATGGAACCTGCCGTGGTCCAGAGTCACTGACTAAAGCTGAACTCCCTAGGCAGGCAGCGGATGTATTTCCTCCAACCTAGAAGGGAAGGAAATCCGGCATCCAACCCTTCATCCCCTGTCCTAGCCGCCATAACCATCCTCAACCCTCCATCACATATTCTCCATCCAACTAAGCAAATCCCTTATTTCTTTCCGGTGGTGGCAGCAGCAGCCAACTCCTTGACCTTGTCCTCAACCTCACCAACCTTTTGTTTCCCAGCGTCCACGGCGCCGGCGAGCGCAGCCTTCTCTTTCCCGCCCCACTGTGTCCACTGCAGGTAGCGGTACCCCTGGGTGAGCTGGGCGCCCTCGTTGACAAAGTGGCAGAGGAAGAGGAGGTAGTTCTTGGGCGTGACGGCGAGGGAGTAGCGCATGAAGGTCGCGGAATAGATGCAGAGGGCAAAAGTCATTGGGCCGGAGATCCTGCAGGTAGGTGGGAGTAAGTGGTTAGCTTGGATCGAACCCGAACCAAGGAGAAGGGCCGTGCTGGAGGGGTATCGGACGAAGCCAAGGCAGGGCTGAGCTGGGAGCGAAGGCGGCTGGGGTAAACGTACAGGTCCGGACTCTTCTGGGTATCCATGACCGCGGCAACGGGAATACCGAAATTGGAGACAGGGCCCCAGAAATCTGTCGTGAGTCTCCAATTAGTCATGGCTCAGGATCGAGGACCAGGCGGCGGTGGACATCCGGCGCAACCGTTGCGCAATCGTCGAAATAGGAATTGGCCTCTCCCCAGAAACCCAACGACCAAATATTGGTCGTGCAGTGAGCTCAGAGAGCATGTCGCCTCCGAATACTGGCACAACCATCCATGACGGCCGAATGCGCCCTCGGGGAGAAAGAAGAGAATCGGAATGTCCGATGACTTGTGCGCTGACAGAAAGGGTAAGAACTCACGTGTTGAGCAGACATAGTTCAAAACCGGGTGCGCCCTGATCTTCGCATTGATTGCTTTGACAAAGGCGGCCATGTTGACGGTGGTTGCTGTGCTGGCGCAGCCTCGTCGTTGTCGCGGTCAGGGTGGGTTTGGTGGTTTGTCTTCGAGATCGGAGATGCCAGGCCGGGAAAGAATTTGGGTCCGGAGGCCGCACAGACCTCAAAGACATGCGGTACGTCACTACCTTGTCCGATCGATACGACGGCAGTCCAAGCTGCCAGTAACATACAAAGTTCATGGCGAGAAAGAGCTTGGAAAGCAAGGAGACAAAGCCAATAATACGCAAAATGAGAGCGAGGAAGGCCCAGTTGATTTGTATAGCCAGCAGCCAAGTTTCTATTCCTGCTCCTCCAAGGCTACGGGGATGCTGGAAGCACCCTATGCTGAGAATGCCCGCTCTACCATGCCCTTGGCTAGGTCACAAGCTTGATCCTCCCTGACCGCAGATCTTATAATCCTGAACGCCGTCCAACCTAACCATTTCTCCCTAATTCTGGTGGGATCTCCAGCCTAACTCATGGCACCGCCATATGCAGCAGGATTGCTGGCAGCACAATGGGCTGCAGCGAAACGCGATCCGGGTATTCGGTAACCTTACAAAACAGACCCTTATCTTCGTGGCGGCGGGTTGAAGCCAGTGGGCGGCGCCCCTCCTGGAGGAAATCCCGGAGGAAACCCGGGAGCGGCAGGGAAGCCAGGGGGCGGGAAAGCAGCACCACCAAAGCCAGGCGGCGCAGCTAGTCCAGTTAGCAGAAGAATAGCAGAGTGGGAAGCGGTTGTACTTACGACCACCACGACCAGGAAACCCAGGGGCACCGGGAAAGCCAGGGACAGGAAATGGAGGAGGAGGGGCACCGCCAACACCAGCAGCAGGACCGGCGAGCGAGATGGGAGGAGCAGCACCCCGTCCAGCAGGCCGCGCAACGCCGGGGCCAGCTGTGAGCGTCGACGCGATGCCGGCCCCTGTTGTCTTGCCGAGACGCGCGCTGGGATCGGCTGGAGGAGGCGACTCAACGGAGAGCGACACGATATGCGCACCCCGGACAATTGTCAGGCCCAGAGTACGCTTCTCTTCCTGCTCAATGAGCTGGGCAGCGGCCGCTGACGCGCCAGGGGCGGACGGCTTGTTCTGCTTGCGCTTGATGCGACGAAATTCTTCCGTGTCGGCGAGTACGAGGTTCATGTGCTTGTCGAATGCGAGCATCTACCCCAGAGGTGTTAACAACAGCCCAACCAAGCGATAAATCGTGAGGAACTATATACTTGACCGGTCATCTGACGGCCATCGTTCAGGGTGATGCGCATCCGGTAGTTGATCTGCAATCAAGTTAGCAAATCGGCCAGGTCGTCGCTGACTCCGTCGGAGAAAAATACGTACGTAGCCGGCCTAAACCAATGCGCCTTTGTCAGTCCTCCGATGTCAACATAGATGCCTGCAGAGCGGTGTCGGCGGGAGGGTAGAACTCACCATCTTGCCTTGCTTGTTTTGCGCCGACATCTTTGCGACAGATGCTACAGAGTAGCTTCTCCAAATTTTCAAAAAATTGGTTCGTTGACAAAGCTCTCGACTTTATCAATTGCGGTTTCTTCTTGGTCTCGGCGGAGGCTCTGAAGTAACGCGCAGGTTGGTTTGATGATAGCGTGGTGGAGGCGAGTTGCCTGGAAGTTTGCTTAAGACGACAAGCTTCAGCCACAGCAAGTCACAGTTCAGCCACGAAACAGATTGGCGCCACAGTTTGTCGCCCACCCAGCTCTCTCCGCGGCAGGCAAGCAGTCCCCACACGCACAATCTCAAATTCGACAGCGAAAATCGACCTCACGCTTCCAATTTCTTGGTGGAATCGACGAGTCGCCCAGTACCGGAACATCGACAAAACCGCCGCCATGGTAGGAACATACCAATCGCATAATAAAAATAATATTGCGGGTCAAACTAACACGATCACAGTCTGAAAAGGCCCAAAACCCCATGCGGGAGCTCCGCATCCAGAAGCTCGTCCTGAACATCTCGGTCGGCGAGTCTGGTGACAGACTGACCCGTGCTGCCAAGGTGCTGGAGCAGCTCTCTGGTCAGACCCCGGTCTACAGTGAGTTTTCCTCCTCAATTCCAACCTCTCCTCCCTCCTCCATTAACACACAATCCTTCAGGCAAGGCGCGGTACACCGTCCGCACGTTCGGCATCCGCCGTAACGAAAAGATCGCCGTGCACGTCACGGTCCGCGGCCCCAAGGCCGAGGAGATTCTCGAGCGCGGCCTCAAGGTCAAGGAGTATGAGCTGCGCAAGCGCAACTTCAGCGAGACGGGCAACTTTGGCTTCGGCATCAGCGAGCACATCGATCTCGGCATCAAGTACGACCCGGGCATCGGCATCTACGGCATGGACTTCTACTGCTGCATGACCCGCCCCGGCGAGCGCGTCGCCCGCCGCCGCCGCTGCAAGAGCAGGATCGGCGCCAGCCACCGCATCACCCGCGACGACACCATCCGGTGGTTCAAGCAGCGCTTCGACGCCATTGTCCGCTAAATGTGGGCTTGACGGAATGGTGATTGGGCGAAATGATGTGAGAAAAATCGGGCATTTTAGGGAATGGGGAGTTTCGGGCATCAGCACCATCGGGGGACCTCTGGGGGTAGATTGCTTTTGCGGGTTCATGCAAATGGGATCGTTGAGTTCTCTCGGAACATGTGAATACAGCTCCCTCTACGTGGACGAGTCTTGTCCATCGTGCTCGGTCTGAATTTCAGTCGAGCCTCGGCCTCAGAGTCCGACCGGCGCATATGCCGGCTTACCAATCCCGTAAACGTGATCAAACCTCTCCCCTTCCATGACTGGTGTCGGGGCAGGTTCCCGGCGACACGGACACTCATGAAACATGATGACCAGACTGCTGGCGCTATGCAATTTGTACCCTTTACCATTGATATTTTGCTATCTAAGGTACTGCCTAGGTATCATGGGAAAAGCAAAAGTCCACCCAGATGCCTGTGACACAGCCCTTCCCCTGTCATCCATTCATGAAATGATATTGCAACAGAACCATCTATCTCTCCCCTCCTTTTTTTGTTCCGAAATCAGCCGCCTCCAAGATACAGGGAACCTCTCAAGCCGCAACATAGCTGTCCAGGGAGACCACCGTAATGAGTCCTCAGGACCGGCAGTCAAGCCCGACTGACAGTGTCAGGCGATTCGAATTTCAAAGTCAAAGAACGAGACTGAAGCATTACTGTAGTTGCCAGTGTTACAAAGGAAAGCATTGTGCAACGACAGTCAACCGGGTTGACTCCGCCTAATTGCAAGATACTGTGAAGGTGTGTGGTCGGAGCTCAAAGCGCAGCCAGCGGCGCCCTAGGCCTCACCAGCCGGTTCTTCGGACCGCCAACACACCGGCGCGGCGTACCCGTCACCGAGGCCCACCGCTGGCGCTGTGTCTTGTCCATGTCGATCAGCATGTCAACGAGCGCCTCGGCGTCCTTGTGGATCGCAGCGAGCTCGTTCGCATCGCTGCACACAAGCGTGCCGTCCTCTTGCCGTTTCCTGAAGGCGGAGAAGACGATGCCGCGATTGGGCGGGTTGTCCTTGAGTTTCCGTCGCTTGCCTTCCGGGGTGGAAACGGCATTAGCGTCCCGCCCTCTGGCGGGGCTATAGCCCGTGCAGAACGAGCAGCTGTAGCCGCGGGCCATCACGTCCCGGGCGTCGCTGTCGTCGCGGTATTCGAGCCAGCCTTGGGTGCGGAGGACCTTCTGGTGTACTGGCACGCAGATGCGGAATGGGTACTCGATCGACTGCAGGCCGTATGCGGCAAGCAACCGGCCGTTCATACCGCTGTCTGGGCTGCAGCTGGGAGGCTGTGGTCGCGAATCGAAGCCACTGTCATAGCCTGAGGCTTGGGAAACGGGGGTCGCAGGTGGCGAGGGCGGGGTGAATCGAGCAGGAGACGTGGCGACGGGCGTGCCGTAGAACGGGTTGAGAGGCGAGGAGCGATTGGGGCGGCTCATGTGGCTGGGCCACAGGTTAACGACGTAGACTAGGTCGAATTGGTACTTGGTCGCAATTCTTGCAGCTTCGAAGGCCGCGGCGGCCAGGGGTCGACTGGCCAGCGGAGGTGAGAGCGTGAGCAGCGGAGTAGTGTCGTGGGGCTGCCGAGGTGTGAAGGCCTGCGCCGGATGCGGTGGTAGCGCAACGCTCGGAGGCTTGGATGCCGGAGACTGGGTACGAGTGGTACCATGGCCATCCGCGATGTCATCGTCGCTCAGGGCAAGGAAATCGGTCAAGCTGGGTTCTTTGAGGATCGTGTCCAAACTTGAGACCTTCGCGATCGGGAGCCTCGGCAGGCTGGTCGACTTGTGCAGAGCTTCGTTAGCACACTTGAGGCCGGAGGTCATGGAGATGGACATGCTCCTCGGTCTCTGCGAAACTTCGTGGCCAGCATCCGGCTTATCAACACCTGACTCATGCATGGAGATCGCCGATGGGTTTGGTCCCGGATATCTCGATGATGCCGCTCCAAGGCATTGGCTTTCCCGCTGCGACGGTGCCAGCGTCCGGGCGTTGTACTGCTGAGGTTGCTCTTGTCCGGGGACGGCTAGGGTGTCTTGTTCACATCTTGAAGGCCGCTTCCGATCAACCTGCGCCTTGGGGGAGGCAGAAAGCGAGTTGGACCGAGTGGGCGACTTCGAGGCCGGTCTGAAGCGTCGCCCGGATGATGAATTGTTCTCAGTCTTTGACGATGCGGTGGAGAAGCTGAAGTCCATCAGTTCTGATAAAAGGTCGTCCCTGCTTGGGCTTGGATGCAGTGACGAAGACCGCTGAGAAACGCGGGCCTTCATTGAGGAGTACAGTGAGGAGTACCGTGACGGGATCGGAGGACAGCCACCGGGCGCCCCAGGAGCAGCCAGGTTGCAGTTGTCGGTGCGAATCTCTGAGATCATAAGGCGAGGCGAGCTTGGCGACTCCGGAAGGCTCCTAGCCCGTCGAGTCGAGTATGACATGAAGAGAACCTCTTCCCTAGCCTCCATCCTGGATGACGTTGGCCGAATGAAGGATGGCTCTGGCCATTTCTCGCCAGGCTTCTTTTTGAAGATTTGATAGGTTGGTTTGTATTCATCCACGTCCATTGATTCTGGCGTTGCCGGCCTGTCAATTGCAACGTCCACTTCATGAGAGTCGGTGGATCTCTTCTTCCTGGAAAACAGGCCCCCCAATCGGTCGAGCTGCTTGTCGAGCTTCTCAAATTTGGTCGCCATCGTGATGTTTGAGGCGGAACTGGGTCAGAAGGAGAATTGTCAGCAACGGTTGTCGAGGAATAAGAGAACATTGGGTATTTAGGTGAGCGTACCAGTCCCGGGATGAGGGTAGAATGGCAGCCTCAAGTCGAAATGGCCTCCTCTTGTTGAGGAATAGCGACAGGTAGTGGAAAAGAAGTTAGCTCTTATTTGCGAGGTGTTGAGTGGGCAAGTCGATGGAGTCTTTAGAGGCGATTGGGCGATGAAATCGGAAGGCGCAATGGTAAACTCGAAAGTCGATCCAGTGATACAATGCCCGTCACGTAAAGTTCCAGGTTACCTCAATGACGGGACATTGTGGGATGGTCGGACGAGAATTCACGGTAGGGGGAAAGAGGTTCCAGATTTCATGAGTCTCGTAGGTTGCAGAAGTCTGTTGGCCCGGCCGAGGAGGGGACAGGAACGAGACGTGGAGTTCCGAGAAGGGCAACAACAACCGGGAATTCGAAGATGGTCGGCCTTTCTGTTACCACTCGGACAGTGCTCAGAATATTTGAGAGTTCAGAGAAAACCAGGCTGGACGTCTGTTTCCCAGGTCCAGACCAAAATATGCCGGCTCACACTGTGGGAAGCAAAGGAGAGCAAGAAAAGCAACCGCTGCTCGATGCTTATCGCGGCTCGCAATTGTAGTATTCCGTCGATGTGGAAAAAAGGACCTTGCAAACGGAGCACCGAAAATTGTCCCGGCCACACCCCCCACCGAGCGGGAGACGAGGGCAAGAAAGAAACAGGAGTGGTGTAAGCCGCAGAGTCGAGTGAGGCTAAAAATCTTGGTCCAATGAGCTGGATATAAGACGAAAGCACAACATGCCGGTACTGGGCCTGGACCTGACGGATGACAGTGGTGGAGAAAACCGACGAGGGTTCTCCTCCAATGCCCAGATGCCCGGCTCCCTGGGTTCTGAAGAATAATGACAGGGGCGGTAGATGACAGGTGAGAGTTGAGAGTGTGGTCATTTCCAGTTTATGTGCAGACAGAGAGGGGTAATACCCTAGTAAAAAGAAGGGAGACTGTCCAGAAACACCCATTCGCTGAGCACATGTCACGTAAGCCGAATCGTTCTCAGCAAAGGGAGAGTCAAAAATCTTGATGGCAGGGTCTCAAACCGGAACCTGAAGTGAGCTCGATGACTGAGCCCTGAGAGACGTACATACGGGGACAGACCATCTCATGGCGGCCGTGCTCCGGTCGGCGTAACACCCTTGTATCACTGTAACACCTTGCTGTCTTCCACTCTGATCAACGTGTCGACGAGACAGGTACGGGGTGAAGGGTCTTCTCATGGAGACGGGAGAGGGGGAGAGGAGTCGGCGCTTGCTTTTTCTCTCGGGACGGCGTCAGCCTTGAACGTTAAGCATCTCTTGGATATTCCGGCGAGAGTGAGTCTCCACAAGCTATCCACCCGACAGGAAGGAGGATGACGAACAGCTCAGCCATCGCTTGGAAAAAGATAATCGAGAAAAAGCAATTGTAAGGCGGATTCGCGAGGTCGAGACCAAAAACGGAAAGAGCCAGGGCATGACGCACGGACTGCCGAAGTTGGAGTGAGTCGCGAATGAGGGACGAGACCGGAGCACTCCGTCACGGCCCGGCTTCCTCTAACGTTATTCATTGTCAGCTGGCGGGTGGGCTTCGCTTCCCGCTCCCATCTTGAGCCCTCGACGTCGAAGTTCAAGTTCTCTCAGCCTCAGATGTTGTTCCTGACGACCGTGATCACCACTCTGCCCGTTGCCTGGAGCAACTCGAATCGCGGATTGTACGACGCAACCCAGAAACCGAGCGTATGCATGACACTTTTGAATCCGCGATGTATGCAAACGCCTGAGGTGGCTTCCCGAAGCCTGTCAGAACAGCAGAAAACACATCCCTCACAACAAGGGGCCCGTTCACTAGAAACAGATCTGCTTTTTTCCCCTTCGGATGCACAGAGAGGTCAAACCGCCAGTTTCCCCATGGCATTTTTGGAAGGTTCTATTGGCTAGACATATGTATTTAAGTCAATTTGGACCTGCCAAGCTCGGCTTCGACTTGTCCAAGCTTCGTCTTTAAAATCGCATTTTCAATTGCGTCTCAACATACATTACGTAGACAAAGTATTTGATAACGGCAATAGGTTCTATGGATCGAGTTACCTTAATCCAAGTATACTGGCCCTAAATATATATGTTGTGGCCTGCAGTGTACTCACTGTACTGTTTGGTGGCTTCTACAGTGTAGCATGTTAGTACGGATACTTAAAACAAAAATGGTGTTCGCCTCCCGAAAACAACGCCAAGGCGGAACTAGCAGTTTGACCTTACAGCAGCACCCTTGTGATCGCCCGTGCATGGCACCGCTGCTGGCTCATTGCCATGGAGGGTTGGGGGGTAAAACAGGGTGGCTAACTAATACCATGTTGGACTTCGGAGATACATTGAGGCCAGCGATGGTTGCGTTACGGTTTTCCGGCGATACTATGCTGTTGAACCTGTAATAGGATGACCTCAACCTTTTTTTTAGCCCCACCTCCTTGCATGGTGGCTCAGTGGCTCATGTAGATTCAACGCCATCTTTCCCAGCTCCAATCAACCTCCACAATCCTAGATTTCCATGTTCTGAGGCGCAGCAACTCTTTTCAAGGTTCGTCAGGTTTGACAGACTGTGGTCAGATTTGGCTGGAGAGTTTGCTGCCCTTCATCCACAACACGCGATTGCGGACATGGAATGGACAATGGAGACAAACGGGTATCTCCACAATAACCGCCAACGGAGTGAGCATTGTTCCAGTCTTTTGGGTCCGCACTGACAAAGGATTTCTCGTCGGCCAGTTGCTTTTTTTCAGGCCGGACGAGAAAGACGGCCGGTTGTTGAGTGCGGCCCGCATTGGCTCCAATCCTCTCCCGGTTGATATCAATTCCAAGACCGACGGATTTTCTCTCGTACGACGGTGCCACTTTCTGGTCATGAGAGTCTGAGCATCGCGGTGACTTCTGCGCAAGATCTTCAGGTTATATATTCACAGCAGCGTCGGTCATGAGACAGGCGACATACGAACTGAAGGCCGCCACTATGAGCTTACCCGTTCCGATGGAGTCGACGGGGGTGAAACAAGGCCCAGTGTCAGGTGCAACTCTCTGTTCTTAATCTCGCTGCTACTCTACTCCGTACACGTGTACTTGGACTGTACAGTACACTGCAATGGGGAAGAGGTGCGATAAAGCTCCTCCCTCCTGGCGAAGGTCGCCGACTGGCAGGGTTGTGATTCCCGCTAACATCCCCCACGCTCTCCGGCTACCTTCCCCGGCGAGGGGCGAGACCCTGGATGCGGGTGGGGTGCCGGTGCCGTCATGCTGGGCCCGACTTTGGCGAGAAAGTCCTCCTCCTGAGAATTACCACCCAGACCGGTACTCGAGTAGCCATGGGAGGTCGCAACGCATGAACGTTACAATGCAGGTCGGCCTTGAAGCAGATTAGTAACATGACAATTGACTGAGCATCTGCATCTGCTTATCCGTCAAATGAATGAACTCTCCCCGCTCAGTACGGAGGTACTCTTATTGACATAGGGTTAGTAGCCCTTCGGGTCGAGTGCCGGATCGGCGCCTCCTCATTGGGTCTCTTGGGCCACGCATGTTTCAGCCCCCCGTCAGTTTCTACTGTCGTGCGTTGTTAGCCCCGGCGGGACCAAGACCACTCCATCCCTTGGACCGTTTCTTTCTCAGCCGACCCCTTTGCGGCTCCTCCCAAAGATTCCCATCCAGCCCTCCGGATCAACGGGGCGTGTGTCCCGTACACATGTAGAAGTTCCCCGTTCAGCCGGCGTGGCTCCGTGGCAGCGTGCCTACACACGTGCACTCACAAGGGAGAGGGAGGAGAGAAACGTCGGACTCCGACACAGTATGATTGGAGAACAACAAGATCCCTTCCGGCATCGTCGCCGGGGATTACAGGTCGATGCCAGATCCAGCTGGAAAGGGGTGCGGACAGACCTTGGCACTGCTGTAGGGGATCTCACAACGGCCCCTCGCATGCTCAGATCTTTTTCCTGCCCATGAGCGGGTGTAACCAAGCACAAGAGCAAGTCCCTGCTGCCCAGTGCTCTTCACCCATTGCCGGAGCCACGATATCCATATCAAGCGTCACCAAAGCTCGAGACAACTGATGACCCGAATACCGTATCCCACAGCACGCACAGATTACTCTCCAGATTGTGTTGTCTGGACAATGTCTCGCTTCACTCTATCCGCTACTCTATACCTCACACCAGGTGCTTCCGACAGCGCAGCGAATGATTTGCTATTCCGTCTGTGCTCAGACGCACCTGCGAAAGCCCGATCGTGCATCGTTCAACTGAGATCCGTGTCCATGCCCGGCAGGTGCGAAGATCGGCCGAAAACCCGTCGTGGGACGACCGAAATGAGGCGAGCCAACCTGCGGAGATCACAGCTCAGCCGATCTCCCGTCCCGCCAGCAGGCGAATCAGCATCCGCCGGGACTACACAGGAGCGCAATTCGCAAGTGGCAGCAACTGCTCAGAGCCTCGCGCCACTACCGTCTTCTTCGACCTCCCCAAAGATGTTGAGGAAGGCCGTATGCACCTCCTCCGTGAGATCGCTCGCCTGCAGGCTGCGGCCTCTCTTAGCAAACGCCAGGCGCGAGCACTCCTGTTACTCTTTATTAGCCCTTTGCCATAAGTCCAGCAGAACAACACAAAGAAAACGAACGAAAACCGGAGACACGCCTAGGTAACTCACCCGCGTAATTGCGCTGCCGCCAAACACAGCGAGTCCAACGAGCTCCTCTTCCTTCAACTTGTCCCCCGTCTCCCAAATCCTATCTAGATACGCCCTCCGCCACCCGAGAAACGTAGCAATGCTCCCCGTCAACGTATCTCCCTGCCCGCCGCTCCTCTTCCTGCCGCCCTCCAGATCCACCGTAAACGTCACCTTCCCATCGCTCAAATGGTCCTTCTGCCCCTTCTGCACAATCATGACCCCACCCAGCGCCCGCGCGAGCGCTTCCACCTTGGCCGTCTCACCGGCCTGCTCCTTCGCAGCTTTCACTTGCTCGTCCACGCCCAGCGCTTGGGTAAGCCGTCCAAACTCGACCACGTTGGGCGTCAGCACCGCCAGGCCGTACCCGCGCACTAGCTCCGGATCCCGCTGCACCAGCATCAGCGCGTCGGCGTCCAGCACCATCGGCATGCCTTTGTCGCGAGCGGCGCGGATGACGAGCGCGCACGTGTCTTGCATCAGCGGGTCGCGGCCGAGGCCGGGGCCGATGACCAGTACGTGGAGCCGGTCAAGGAGCGGGATGATGCGGGCGGCGATCTGGCGGGCGTCGGTGTCGGGCGAATTGGGGTCGCCCGAGGTGACCGGGGCCGAGGGGGAGGTGGGCGAGGAGCGCATGAGCGGGTGGACCATGAGGTTGGGGGAATATGACTTTATTACTGTTGCCGCGGTCGGGGTGCAGATGACATGGGACTGGATGATGGAGAGAGATGGTTAGCATCTTGTGAGAGTGGCAAGGAAGTTGCAGAAAGGGAAAAGGAGCTCAGATGGGTGATAACAGAGCCGGGAACGGGGCGTCACCACAACTATCCCCCCAGTTGCCCATTTCCATTTTCTCACCCATTCCTGAGGTATTTATCATCAACCACTAGGCAGGAGTGCCAGCCAAAGAAATAAAACAATATAAACATGAAACCTACCATATCACAACCCAACCTGGCACTCGCCATAGCCGAAAAGTACGGCGCGCCAGTGTAGTCCTCACTTCCACCGATGACGCCTACACGTCCAAGTTGTCCTGTAGCCATAGAAAACCCCTCAGTCAGCTCTTGTTCCCACGCGCACACTGTCTTTTATGCCATGACGAAAACCAACGAACCTTTATGAAAGCTCCCGAGCATGGGCGGAATCATCTGCCGCACACGGGCAATCAGCTCCTTAGTAACGGGCGACATGTTGGGAGGCGCAATGGAAGTAGATGTCGTTGTTGGGAACGAGTCAGGGGGCATTTCGAGGTACGCGAAAGTTCCTGTCTTCCAAGCAAGTCAGCGGCATCCAAGACGCATTGTTCATCCGGGACGGGCGTTAGAAGCAATTGTCGGCGGAACGGCCAGAGCACCGCATTGACATGCGGGAAAAAGACACACTTACCTGCCTTGATGACAAGCTCAATCGAGACAGCGCTTCCCAAGAGTTAACTGTGAGTATGAAAGCCTGCGCAGAACTCTGGCATATCGAACAAAAAGGTTGGTCTCCAGTTGTTGGCGTCGTTGACGGTTCCTGGCCAAGGCACCTGATGATGTCACAGCTGGCCGTCCCATCCAACTGGAACTCACATCGGGTGAGACCCACCGCGACATTACACCGTGCCCGAGTTGGGAACTTCAGGTTGAAAGGCGAAACAAACAACAAGGGACAGAGAGATAGGAAGAAAGATAATAGATTGTTTAAAGAATCAAGGAGAAGGAAACTTAAATTGAAGATACAGAGAGCGAAAGTAACAGAAAGTAGAAAAGGCTCTATCGTCCAACTATACAGTACCAATTAGCTCGTCTATATAGTTTTGTCTTGTTTCAGTTCGTCTTATTTCCCTAGCAAGTTCCGCAATGAAACAAGCACGGCTGAACGGTAGTTCAGGACAAAAGGAATCGAGTGCTTGATTGAGTCTTTGCTCTATTTTACAATGGGTTTGACGGGAGAATATCCCCTTCTCACGCGCCCCTCCTCAGTCCAGCACACGAAAGACGGAACTCACTGCTCTAGAAACACACGGACGTTGCGGTATAGACATCCTCCCTCAGCCTCGGCGAACTTCCCCGTAGATCATCGCAGGAACGCTTGGTATTACTGTAGATTAACCCAGGAAGCTCTTGATGAAGCTCTGGGTGACCTCCCTCAACCGGGCCTCGAGCTCCTTGCTGATGGCACCCTCCTTGTCGATCGTGGCCATGAGGTCGGCCTCGTTGGTCTTGAGGTGGGCGAGGAAGTCAGCCTCCCACTGGAGGATCCTGTTGACGGGGATCGAGTCGAGGTAACCGTTCACACCGGCGAAGATGAGGGGAACCATCTCGTTGACGGCCATGGGAGAGTACTGCTTCTGCTTGAGGAGCTCGGTCAACTGTAGACAGAGTTAGCATTCCCACATAGCGATAGAGGACTTGAGAACTGCAATACTTACCCGCTCACCACGGGACAGGGTTTGCTTGGTGGCAGCATCAAGATCAGAACCGAACTGGGCGAAGGCAGCGACCTCACGGTACTGGGCCAAGAAGAGCTTCAGGGAACCAGCGACTTGCTTCATGGCCTTGAGCTGGGCAGCGGAACCGACGCGAGACACGGACAGACCGACGTTGATGGCCGGGCGGACACCCTTGTAGAAGAGCTCGGACTCGAGAAAGATCTGGCCGTCCGTGATGGAGATGACGTTGGTGGGAATGTAGGCAGACACATCACCACCCTGGGTCTCAATGATGGGCAAGGCGGTCATGGAGCCACCACCGTGCTTGTCGTTCATCTTGGCGGCACGCTCGAGCAAACGAGAGTGGAGGTAGAAGACGTCACCGGGGTAAGCCTCACGTCCAGGGGGACGACGCAGCAGCAAAGACATCTGGCGGTAGGCGACGGCCTGCTTAGACAGATCGTCGTAAACGATCAGGGCGTGCTTTCCATTATCCCTGAACAAACAATGTCAGTCATTTTCTTCCCAAAAAAAAAAGGGCGGGCTTTATCGACCTAAACCATTCTCCCATGGCCGTCTGTTTAATTCAGAATGTCAGTACGAAGGTAATCTTGTAGGTAGAAAGAGGGAAGAAAAAAGAAAAAAGGGAAAAGGAGAAAGGGAGTACGGGAATATACAAAGAAACAAAGGGAAAGGAACGAAGTATGGAGTGAAAAGCAACTAGAAAAGCTAGGGAAAGGGAAAGGACAGAAGAAGAAGGAATAATCACTTACACCGGTGAAGGGAGCAATGTACTGCAGGGGAGCAGCCTCCGAGGCAGTGGCGGCAACGACGATCGAGTACTTCATGGCGTCGTTCTCCTCGAGGGTCTTGACGAGCTGGGCGACGGTGGAACGCTTCTGACCGACGGCGACGTAGATGCAGTAGAGCTTCTTGGTCTCGTCGTTGCCGCTGTTCCACCGCTTCTGGTTGAGCATGGCATCCAGAGCGACGGCAGTCTTGCCGGTCTGACGATCACCAATGATCAGCTCACGCTGACCACGGCCGATGGGAACCATGGCGTCGACAGACTTCAGGCCGGTCTGCACGGGCTGGTTGACAGAGCGGCGGGGAAGAATGCCGGGGGCCTTGAGCTGGGCACGGCGCTTCTCCTTGGTGTTGATGGGGCCCTTGCCGTCGATGGGGTTACCGAGGGCGTCGACGACACGGCCGAGCAGCTCGGGGCCGACGGGGACATCGACCTAGAGATCGTTAGAACACCATTGCCAAAGCGATGCTTGCAATGCAACCCACAATTTCACCGGTACGCTTGACGGTCTCGCCCTCCTTGACGAGACGGTCAGAACCGAAAAGCACGACACCGACCTGGCCGGCCTCGAGGTTCATGCACATGCCCTTGACGCCAGAGGCGAACCTGAAATGCGTTAGCTCCATGCATGGGACCAAGCAGGGACCGTTAGACATACTCGACAAGCTCCTCGGCCTGGACGTTGGCCATGCCGTGCACACGGGCGATACCATCACTATCGTGGTCCAGTTAGCGTCGCGATTCCGTAGTGCCCTCTTGATTCCACATCCAATCTCCCACTTGGCACCGAGCCCTGGCATGGATATCCGTGCCGTCGGGCCCTCGGGTGCGCATGTTGTCTGTCGCCAAGACTGCTTGAGTTGAGAAACGTACCCGACAGACAGGACGCGGCCAGTCTCGGCAAGGCCGGCCTCCTCCTGGACACCGCGGATCCGCTGCTCGAGGATGGACGAGACCTCGGTCGGCGAGGCCTTGGCTTCGGCGTATGTGCGAGTTTGGAGGGCAGAGACGGTGGGTGCGGCATTTCGCTGTCGGGGAATCCAGTTAGCTTAGCCGAAAAGCGAGCCACGCGCCACAGGGCACGCAAAACTGAGCAGCTCCCGTCCAAACTCCCGATGCTCGCTCAACGGCCATGCGCCGCCGAATCAAAAGCTCAATTGAGCTTCCCGGGTGCGTGCAGGGCTGGTTGAGATGGGATCCGAGCACCGGTCGATGGAATTGGGTTCGGGCCGGGCGGGCGGAGGTGCACTCACTGCGGCGACTCTGCTCGAGGCAGAGAGGGCGCCGACGGCGCGGGTGCTCTGTCGGAGGGCGTTCCGGAACATATTATCCAGGTATGTGTCGCCTCTTGCTGTGAGGGAGAGCAATTGCCTCAATGCTGCAATTGCGTAGAGCGGAGTTTGAGACAGGAAGGTCGATGAAGTTTGGGCGACGTGAGAAAATTGTGAGAGGTGGCAGGCCGAGCTGGAGGAGAACGGGTCCGGAGCTTGGCACCAGCCAATCAGAGCCCGAGTCAATTTTCCCGGCTCCACCTTTTCAAAGCAACCGCCCGGAAGCCTCCTTGCAAACAGCTGGTCGTCAACAACAAACACCTTTGTTCGACCAATTCCTACATTCTGAGATTCTAATAAGTATCTCTGATTATCTTTACAATCTCACAGCCCTGTTCTGTAATATTAAACTTTAACATATCTACTATGGAATTGCAACTTTGGGGTTTCTTAAGCTACGCCCGAGTTTCCGGATAATCCCGGTGTGGAAACAACGCTACAAAACTGTTCGAACCCGAAACAACTGAACGGCCACATCAGATGCGCAAAATGGGAGCAATGAGAGCCCACAGGCAGATGGAATAATAGCATTGAGAGTAGGCGAATTTCGGTATCATGTTCGAAGGACTCAAAGCACCCAGCCACGTTTGCGGGAGAGCCTGCCCAACCCCCGTCCTAAGGGGTAACATGATCAAGGGCTTCGAAGATGACCGACTGTTGACTTCGTCCATGGTGGCTTATGACGCTAAGAAGGCTGGAGCACTCTGGCCAACCACTAGCATGCAACAGAAAGTAAGTGCACAAAGGAAGAACCAACACTTCCCACCATGGAAACCCGCTCATAAAGCTAGGACTTTTCTTACGGTGCCCGTCGTCAGCAGCCTCCTCAATGATCGAATCAAAAGTCTAGAGTTTCCACCTTGGCCGGCGCTGCCTTGTCTGGGAAGGTCTTCTTTTCCTTAGTCCCGTCGGGGTTGTGCGGGAGGCTCAATACGCGCCGACATCTGTTTGAACGACGTGCCTCGTTGTTCTGGCGCTTCGAGTAGAGGGACTCAGCCTGGTCTGGAGTGTCCCTCTTGCACTTTTGCGTACTGTCAGACATGATGAAGCTACTACGTGTCAACCTCCGAGCAAGCTCAAAGGGTTGATCCGATGGCACATCTGACGGCGGACCTCCCGGCTGAAGATGTTGCAGGGGTTTCAGTGGGTTATGTTAAGAGAGGCTTCTGACTGGCGGCTTTAGACATAGCAAGGTTCTCAACCTTCACAGCGAGGTCGTCGAGCTGCTTCTGCTGCGAAGCTATCTTGGTGTTGAGAATTGCGACCTCGCCCCGGAAGCGCGCTTCCGCCTCGTCGTGTTTCTTGGTCGCGGTGGCGGCCGTCTCTGCCAGATCTGCCTTCATCGCTTCCGCCACCTTCTGCTGCTTTTCCATCTTCTTCTTGACTTCTTCAGCGGAATTGGCTGCATTCTCCTGGGTGACAAAGTCCTTAGCAATGAGTGCGTCTATCCGCTCGTTCAGAGCCAGCACCTCAGCTTTGAGGTGTGCAATGTCGTTAGGCTCCTCAGCAGTCCCGTTTCCGTCTCCGACTTCATGTTCCAGGCTGTCGGTTTGGTCAGCCCCGCATCCTTCACGGTTTCTTGAGGCGCAATATCGTTGGTAGGGGCGTGGGCAAGGTGCACCAGACCTAGATCAGAAAGTAACCCGCAAGTGGTGCCATCGAGCTCGCCATGTGGGGCGCGTATTTCATGGCGAGAAGTTCCTCACGCAAAGGTATGAGGCGGGCGTTGATAGTCTCCGTCTCGAGGTATCCCATCAGCGCTTCTTCGCAACGAGCCCAGACCTCTTGGACATAGCTGTTGTTGGCGAGCATGCTCCGCTTGCCCGCAGCAATGTTATGATGGAACTTCTGGATGAAGTAGGCAATTCCCTTCATCTTCTCCCGGCTATGAAAGTTCTCATAGCGGGCTCTCGCTAGAGCGTCGTCGATACTGGCAATGCCAGGCCGCTTCGCCCGGCCGTACACGTTGAGGCTGGCGCCAGCTTCAAAGCGTTTCGAGGCGAAAGGGTCGATCTCGAGCTGGTGGTCACCAGGCAACTCATTTTCACGGGTTCAGCTCTCATCATAATGCTCATCGCCACCCGGCTCGGCTTCATTTCTGACCGTGTGCCAACATTACCTCAGATCAATTGTCGGTGTTGGGGAGAGCTTAAGGTACCTATTGACCGGCATTTTGTGTCCTGGATTTTCCATAGCTGCGAGAGGCAATTGAGTGCTTCACCTTGATTTCTCAAGGAACCGTCAGCCTTGGCTCAATGGGCACTTTGACTAGAACTGTTCGATGATTTTCCCATGTGAGAAAGCTGGACGATGGCGAGAGCAATGAGTAGAGAAGTCAGGATTTGGAAGAAGTAATGGTTCCAGTTTAGAGGGCGCTTACAGAAAGCTAAGCGTCGAAGTCTTAACAAGATCAGACAAGTCAGGCGGGATTTCATCTCATGTCATACTCTTCCTCATTCTTATCGTCATTGATTCCATTCTCCTCCGTTCCCTTCTTAGCAGCTCCCTTTCCGACGCCTAGAGACATCTGGCAGGCCGGCAAGCTTGTCTTGGACGTCAATAGGAAACAACCACAATAAACAGCAGCTCCCTTTGCTCTTCAAGGCTCTCTTCCCACCCCAGCACCCGTTTCCTCTTCTTCCGTTTTCTCTTCCTCTTTGTCATCCTCTCCCCCCCACCTCCTGACAGGAAACTGGTTTTCAGTTATCAGTCTGGGGGTGTTGATGTCCTTTTCTTGCTAACTCTTCGCTAGTCAAGTCGCCTTTGACTATCCGTTGCCACAATAGGTTTGCTCTCTGAACGATTATCGATCTGGCCAAGACCACCAAACACGTCGTAGACTTCGCCAAAATCCCACTGTTTGGCATCATTGAACCCCTTGGGAGGCAGGTGTACCATAAACATTGAGCCGTCTTTAGTTTCGAAGGACAAGCTGAAGCTGTTAGCTATCAGTCGATCACAGTTGTCCGGCCCAAAAGGTGACTCACTAAACGCCTTTGACGAACAATGCACTCGCGAGATTATCGAGACGGCCGACACACCCAGCCAACTCGTCAAAAGTTTCTCTGCAGAGTCTAGACGGCATCTGCGTCTCTCGAACCCATCTCAACAGCATATCCAAGACGTCTTCCTCCTCCCTCTGCAACAGGAGATCCTCATCTTCAGCTGAGTTTAGATGGTCATGGAAGATCCGTTTGAGGATGCGTCGACTTGTTCGCGCATCAACCGCATCTCTCAAGGTTTGCGGTTCCCTTTCGTCCGGCTCGAGGTAAAACGCTCGGTATGCGCTCAGCATGTGTGCCAGTCGATCTTCGATCTCGTCTTCGGAGGAATACTCTATCTCAACGGTGTAAGCGTGGCTTATGGGTACGCTGCTTCTCCGTCTCGGGACTGATGCAACCTTGATCTTAAATCTTTGTCAGCCAGGCTCAAGTTCCCTAAAGCGAGTCAATCTTACCCTGAGAGATGTGGTAGATGTGGTCATCTTGAGGCCATGTCGTGGTGCCACCAATGAGGTTGATCCGGCGCTGTAAGTCCTCTCCAGCTTCCGCCTTGCCGACTGCGCAGCCGGCAGTCTCGATCAAGTTGATCAACTCCCTGGCGTTTCGCAATGCTAGGGTACTAGCCCTTTGGGCCAGCTCTTGGCGTTACTTCTGCATGCTCCTACAAACCCGGCACAGGCGACGGCCAATGCCGCATCGCGACAGTGCATGCTAAGCGCGGAGGCGCGGCAGTTTTGTGCTCAAGTACCGAGGGCATCTGCTGCTTGGCCGCTCTTTTTGCTCCATAATTGCCACATGTAGGTTTGACTCCCTCCTAAACTCGGGCAGATAGCAACTTGCCGACCTCAGAATATCTCTCGTGGTTGCGCGACGAGGTGTCTTGTGGTGGCCGCGGCGGCGGCTGGCGGCTACACGCCGAGGTGTGATTGGGAGGGCCGATGAGCAGCTCAGAGCTGCTGCGCGGCAACGACCGCCAACGGTCTGAGAATTGGGCCTCGGAGCCATAGTTGAGAACTCGAGCATGAGTGCGCCATCTGTAACAGGGGCTGCTGCACGAGTAGGGCAGTGTTGGCGGTCCGACTCAAGCAAGGACCCAAGACTGTTGTTGTCTGCACCAAAACAATGTCACAACGTGTATTTGCTCCTGGAAAAGAATAGTTTAAGAGCAATCAGAATGATTGGACTCAAAAGGACAAAAAGCTCACCAACCAGCCCAGCTCCCGCGCCGGTCAAGTAGAGGTGGTTGGCTACAAGAAACCCTGGGGTTTTTACTTCTCTCGCCGGGAGTCGAACCCCGCGATTTCGGTTGCTGAAGCTCCTCCCAGAGCTTCTCCCAATACCGCCGAGCTAACTCGGTGTGAGCTCATTGATAGGAGTTGGTGACAGTGTGAGTTGCGGACCTCGTATGTAAAACTCTGGCGGGCGGGTGCTGGCTGTAGAGGTCGGATGAAAGATTTGACCTCCCACGGTGGCAGCCGCCAACCTGGATACCTTCGCCAACTAATCTCCAACGCCGTAATCTGGAATTAGCATTCGAGAAAGTCATGACTTGGGAGATGAGGCCCTATTTTGATGGAGGGCCGTCCTTAAACCGGCCATACGCCGTTCTCAGTCTTGCTGTTCTAGGTTTTATTTGAATCCGGTCCCAAAGAAAGGAGTGTCTAACCTTGTTTACAACCCGGTGACATCAACAAGCCTGATGGCTGGGTCAAAGCACGCCCTTTTCAACAGCTGGTATTCAACCCCCTGAATATCCCACGGCACACTTAGCGTCTGCTGGTCGAATGAACCGGGCTCGGCAACCCGCCTCGTGCCAGCCTGACTTTCTCTCCACTGGCAGCTCTCATGTTTGGACCCACCAAAGCGTCGCAAAACATCCTGGTACCGCTCCATGGGAAAGACCTCTGCCTCCACCTCCGTCAGAAGGGGTACAGAGAAGTCTGTCGGCGAGTCAGCAACGACCTGGTGGAAGGGATCGACCTGTCAACCCTGGAAGAGCCAAAAACTCACCGCCCTTGAGATAACTCTCAATCTTGTACTGTGCCACAACCGCCGCCATTCTGCTCCCGTTCCTTCCACGCTTGATTACGTAGCTCTGCCCGGGGTAGCTCTCCTCCTTGGGACCGTGCTGGTCGATGAACAGCTTCGGCCGTCCACCGAAAAACTCGACCTCGAACTCTGCGCCCGGGTCGTACCGCCGGACGAGGCGCATGAGATCCATGTCGGTCACCTCGTAGGCCAGGTCCTCGAACCCGCGGAGGAAGTTGACAAAGAGGTGGCATAGGTGGTGCGTGACCATAGCCCCGAGATGGAACTGCAGCCGGTTAAAGCGGGCCGTCTCTGCGAGGCGCTCGTCCTCGCGCCGTTGGCGCAGGGCACTGTCGGCTTTCAAACGGGCCCAGTAGAGCTTGTCGATCAGCTGGAGGATGGAAAGGTATGGCGTCAGTAATAACACTCAGGCAGGACCGTGAGTAGGGAGAGGTGGATGGCCAGTCTTACCTGCCAGTTCAAGTGCAGCACAGCGGCCGTCTTGAAGGTAAAATCGAACTGTCCCAGGGTCGAGTGCTCGTCAACCCACAAGTAGGGCATGGTGTTGTTCCCCTCCTCGTGGCAGAACCCATTCCGGTCGTCGATCTTGACGCTGGGGAAGTGGTGGCGCACGCAGCGGAGGAACTCGTCCACTGCCGCTGGGACGTCCACGTTCCATGGCTCCATCACGGGGCCTGGGACGGGTCGTTCTCGCCACACGCAGATTGCCTTGCGCGCGAGGTTCTCGAGGGCTACGTGCAAGAGAGTCAGCTACAGATTTTGAGGCAAAGGACTCGCAGTGACACACGATCCCTTCCGCGATCACTCTCGAGCATTCTCAACCCAAGATCCAACACACAGGCAACGGCAACAGCCCTTCCGCCCCCTGGCTCCAGGGGGTGGGTGCAGCCGTCGTCGAGCAGCTCGGACATGACAAGCTGGTACAGCCCCTCGGTCGGCAGCTGCCTCCATTGCTCTGACTTGACCAACCCCGTGCTCAGCGGCCCTCGTTCCGACTGAACGAGCCGATCAAAGACGGCTTCGCTGTCGCCGGGGCAATCTGAATGGTGGACTCGTTCGACCGACATGTACGGCGCCATGGTGCGATTCTTCCTCGCGGGTAAATATGGCGCTGGTTGCTGGGTTATTCTTGGAATACACTGCAAGGAAATTCTTGAAAATGAGTTTTGGAGGCATGTTTGTCTTCAACCGGTAGAGGTAGCAGATAAACTGTGTCAGTCGGGGGGGTACTCGGGATGAAGTCAATCTCAGCAGTTTCTCTGGACACTGAGAGCGGTCTGAACGAGTGCCAACATCAGGCCATCGTTGACCGGCCTGGTCGATCCATAAGGCGATAAACGGACGACGGGCCGGAGTCGGAACGGTGACCTGTGAAGGTTCAGGACCCATCCGAGACGGCCGTTGCGAGGCTCGTCAGCGGCAGGATTAGCAGCGATGTATCAAGATAGCTGCAACATCAGCCACCGTTACAATTGGGAAACATGGCATCTATCTCAGCCCTGGTTCAGCACCAGCCTTGACTGGCCATATCTGCATTTGATACCAACGCGCGGGCCGAGGCCGGCTGGGTAGGATGATGGGCCGTTTCAGCCCAGGACAAAGATTTCTAAGCTGAGACAGCACCGTAAATGTGGCCGACAAAGAGCGCAGCCCTAGCTGCTCAATGGGCTGTGAAAGGGGGATGGAGCGGGCCATGGCCCGATGTGCGGGCGGCACAGGTAGGGCGTGTCAACCCCAATACGTGCCACTGGGCAGGGCACTCATTAACCTCGTCTAGATGCATCGTCGAGCACGTCGGGCTGCAAGATGCCAAGGTGCTGCTTCTGATTGGGCGGCGGGTAGACAATGCCCGGACGATGCCTTGCCTGCTTTGTTTGTGTTTGGTGGGGGAGCTGCCGGAACCAGTCGGAGGAGCAGAGAATTTTGAAAGAGGAAAGAGGAAACGAAACGCAAGTGGAGAGGATGGGGTCGAGGAAGGCTATTTGAGGGTTAGGGTCAGGCGAAGAGTATGGGTCTCTGCACTTCTGGGCATTGTCATGTTCGACGAATCGGCCATTTCCTTTCACTTTGTTTGCTTCAGGGAGTGCAGTCGGCAAACTCTCATCAAGCCATATTTCAGGGACAATACTAAGCCAGACAAGATTGACATTTGCACAATATCAACAGTCTCAAGACTATGCCGCCACCAGAAGCCACTAAAGATGGAGGCGGCGCTCGGGTCCGCGAGCAACAAACACGAAAGACGACTAATATCTCGCGGTTGAGCCATGGCTGCAATTCGTTGCTTCTCACTCTTGACGGGACTCTGCAGTGTCTGGGTACTCCAAAATTGGAATCCCCCCCCCCCCCCCCGATTCAGACACCCTACTTCCCGCCCCTCCTCCTGCCATCGCTGCCAAAAT